GAGACTGAAAACCCTCTTGTAATTTTCTTTCCTGCAGTTTTGTTCCAGTTTGATTTTCTCTCAATGTTCTTCTGTTGATTTTTGTTTTATTTGTAACCATTTCTCTCCTTCTGGAGATTGAGTTAAGTGTTAATAAAGATTGATTAATCACTTTCAAAGTTTTGGAGATATATATTCTGTATATTATCCATTCTAATGAAACCATTGTAAAAACCCTCTTCGTCGTAAAGTTTATTTAATGTTGCAGGACTAGCTATTGTTTGATGGTGTTTATCAAGGCTGTCATGAACCGTAAGTGTGATATTATGACGTCATACAAGGAAGCACGACTTGGCTAGACCATTTCGGCGAGCGGTCACAGACGAAGTGGTGACAGTACTAGAGGTAAATTTGCAAAAATCACCTTTTTATGAATGTAAAAATATGCAATATAGCTACCATACCAAATATGTCCCGTGAAATTGACCTTTTCAGACGCAACATAGTTTAATATAATGTAGTTTAATATAAACTAAATGCACACAATTCAGAATGACGGTCACAGTCGTATTATATTGAACCGAGATAATAGCTGTGCTCAAGCCACAACAAGAACGGGCTAAGATTTAAGCTAACCTACTATAATTGCGTATCAGACAGAACCAATTGCGTTCACTGTGCCGCATGGGAGGAAATAGCGGTTAACATGGGCTAAGGGTCGCCCAAATTTAAACTTCAAATTTTGAGTATCTTTAACTATAATTCCTCAGTACAATAACTAAGAAGGTACATAATGCATGCAAGTTCCAGGGTTATTAAACAATACCAAAGCTAATTCAGATTGCACAATAACAGAAAGTGGTAAAGAGTCTCATCATCAATTCATTTTTTTTTTCGAAAAGAATGTTCCTAGATGTGCGTTGATTGTCATGTCGGAAATGGCATACCGAAATGGATAGTTATGAATATATTATTACATTTTCCAAATGAAAATTGAATACAATTGTGTTTTGGGTGCTTGATGAGCTAAGGCATTCACATACGCTTTCTCAGCATGGACAAGGTTTTTGCAAAAATGACAAAAAGTCAAAACATTCCGCAGCGTTTTACCCGTATCTAAGAAATAATCTAGTTGCATTGAATGGGATCAAAGTTCTATTAGTCGACGCCATTATGATTTAGCTGATACAGCATAAACGGCCTTGGGTGTATTTGTACAAGATAACTTTGGAGGGACACATTTTTTCAGTTTGATGTGCTA